AATCGCTTATATCTGTGTTGATATCAGATTCATTCAAATATTTGTTTAATTTTTCCACAAACTTTAAAGTTTGTTCTCGATGTATGCCATAGATATGTCATAGATTTAATAATTTCTAGCAATAAATTTTACTGTTCAAATATTAAAAAAAAATGGTTTTAGAATTCTAAGAAAACCGATTGCCATTTTCATTAACAATTTCTAAGAAAACAAAATCCCCTTTGCTTGCAAATAAATTCAGGGTGGCCACTTTACCTGGAAAACCGGGAAAGGTCAGAAAATTTGAAAATAGACCAAAAAAAGTCAGGGAATTTAAATATTTTAGTCTAAATCTGGAAAGGTCAGGAAATTTTGTACTGCGATCTGGAAAAAAGCGATTTTCGTGCCAAAGTCGAAAGCGAACAGTTTCTTGGCGAATCATGTATTTTGTCAGCGTCATTTGGACAGCAAACGTAGAGCCAGTTTTTGCAGCAACAATCAGATTTTCTTTTAGAACGGCAAAGCAAGTTTCCAACATCTTTGGTTTTGAGTAACTTCCAGAATCCAGAGATTCACTTGCGCATGTGCAGTGCATGTTGAACGAAAGTAACTCCTCCCCCCATTCTCTTACTAAAAATCTTTTAAGCTTTTTCTTCTTTCTTAAATGCCTCATTTGTCATTTTGTACTGAAATAAAAAAAAATAATAGCCAGTCATTCAGGCTAATCATTTAATATATCTATATTCACCAAAATACTGTCTATTTTTGTAATTTCGTTTTTAACTCTTAAGAAAATAACTTTATTTTAATGTTATTCATATCATTTAAGGTGTCTTCTTCCTTCTAAATATATTTGTTATTAGTTAATAATGCTTTCAAATTTCAGGCAATTTTTGTCTGGTGTACGTTTGAAACTAATTCTAACAGTAATACGACATACCATCACAAAATTTAGTGCACATTCGTATGCACTTGTATACTCTTTTGCAAAAAAATCGAAGCACCATGAAGGAAGTTTTTGTTTCTGATGAAATTGAATATGTATATAGCTCGTGCACGGATAATAAAATGATTAAAAAAATCACATAGTACCTGTTCACGGCTCACAATCACCCATTGAGTGTTCAAATTAGTAGTTGGTTGAACTGCCCCTGGCAGCAATGGATGCTTGAATTCATCGAGGCAAGGAGTGGTAGAGGTTCCTAATGTCATCCTGCGACCAATTCTTCCAGGCATTCATCAGTTGTCGCTCCAGATCTGTGATATTTTGTGGTGCCCTAATCTAGCGACATACTATGTCCCAGACATGCTCAATTGGTGAAAGGTCTGGTGACCTTGTTGGCCAAGGAAGAGTATCAACCGCACAGAGAAAGTCCAGAGATATGCGAGCGGTATGTGGCTTGGCACTATGTTGTTGGAAAATAACCGCAGGATGATGTGAAATGAAGGGTAATGCAACCAGCCGCAGGATGGTATCAACATATCGTTGAGCTGTTAAAGATGTACGGAAGATGACTAAAGATGACTTACTGTCATAAGAAATTGCACCCCACACCATCACACCAAGGATTGTGACTGTATGCCTTTGTAAAACAAAGGCTAATTGGGACTGCTGACCTCGTCCTCTTCAGACATGAATATGGTGGTCATCTGCTGCAAGAGTGAAGTGATCACTGAACACTATATGATGCCAGTTTGATGGTAGCCATGATGATCAGCTGCGATACCACTCCAGACAACTTCGCCGATGTTGTGGGGTCAAAGGCAAACATCTTAAAGGCCTCTGTGAGCTTAACTCTGCCTCAGAAAAGCACCATGAGATGGTGGACGGTACCATGGGAGGTATAGACGTGGCTGTAGTGCGTTGAATAGTTGACAATGATACCGTTAGAGCAGTTCGGGCATGGCGAACAATCATCCTTTCTTGCCTCACATTTGTGCTCCTTGGCTTTCCAGAGCCTTCATTTCATCGGCAGTTTCCTTGTAGCAACCATTACTGTCAACATCTTTGCACAGCAGTGTGAGTATGCTGCAGGTGACGGCCTATTGCTCGATATGATTACCCAGCTTCACGCAACCTACAATGCGACCATGTTCGAAGTCATTTAGTTGTCTGTAAGGTCTTCAATATCATCGTAATGGCATCTTTAATTGCTTCTTTGCGGAATTACACTGGCAGCAACAAAATAGAAGATACATTTTCCACCTCTGTTACTGGTTTTATACTTTGCGAATTGCGCACGAGAAATGTGTGCTATGATCGCAATTCCTGTTCATTTGCCTTGAAACTTTGATCGTTTGTATGTCCCATCAAGATGTTTTTGCATACCAAATTTCATCACAATCGCAAAAGTTCTTCTTGGTGCTTCAATTTTTTTTTGGAAAAGAGTGTATATGCTGCTAAATAAGTATAAAATTACTGAATTTATTTTAAAATATCATTAAATAGATTTTTCTTCCTTTAGCTGCAAAATGTCTGCAGAAAAGACATTTTTTAATCCCGATTGGGCAGATTCTAATCTCAATGGAGTGGAGAACGCAACTTCTATTATAGTTATAAAATTAAATGCTTTGGAGATTTTATATATATATACAAAGTCATATGTAATTGGCAAATTTTAGTGTTTTCTAGTGGTACCATAATTAATTTACCCTCAATGCAGTTAACGCACAGTATGTGGATAGCCTGGAATTTTCTTGAAACACACCTGGAAAAGTCGGGGAATTTTCATTCTCCTGTTTGAGTTGCAACCCTGTAAATTCTAATGTTCTAAATATCAACTCAAAACAATCAGTAAATATGAAAATTAAACGCTAACTTGGTTTCAAAAGGTTACTCTGAGATGTGGCATAGTGGTTATTAATGTCATTCGGGATTTGGTATGAACAAAATTTTGAAACTACATTGTCCTTTTATATTTTAATGAAACACCAACAAGGTACATAATGTAAAAAATAGAATATTCTCTTTCAGTGCAGGAGCAATGAAAAGTTGCAACAAACTAAAAACAAGAGGATAACATAAATTGTTTAGGGAGGGGAAATTTGAACTTAAAGGACCAAAAATTTTATGATGCAAAGTGCCTGTTTTCAATGTTTTTACTTGATGACAATGTGGAATTGTATGCCTCTGATTATACTCTGGTTTCATTTAGAAAAATGTTTCCCTTTAGTGAAATCACCAAGAAATATTCATCTGCAAGAATAAAAACAACTCCAATTGTTAAAGAAATGAATGTGAAAAATAAATCTTCATTTGATGATTAGATTAAAACATCTCCTTTCTGCCTTTTTGTAGAGGGAAGTAATAATACGAATGCAAATCCAGTTATAGTAACCTTTTTTTAGTACTCGGCCTTCTGAAGATGAGAGATTCTGCAGGCTTTAATGTAGTATGCATAATTATTAGAACTTATACCTTTACTTAATTTAATCACTTAATTAGTTAATTACTTTTATTTTATTTAATTACTTAATTATAATTTTAACTTAGAAGGAACATGATGTATTTATTAACTATTTTGCTGTTGGGGCAGACAATGCAGTAGTAATGGTAGGTTTAAAGACTGGTATTAACAGATACCTTGAAAAGGAAAAATTCAAATTTGCAGATTATGAGCAGCTCTTACAACCACTTTTTACATTTTTTTAAGGAAGAAGTCAATACTTTTAGAATTAAAATGCTATTGAAAAATATAAAATGCTTATAGTAAATGAAGATGGGGGTTACTACTTCCAATATTAAAAATTAGTATAAGAAAAAGTTGCAGCTGTTAAGGCAATTGATGGGATATCTTTGTTTGCCAAATGATTGGGAGTCAAATAATGATCATCTAAGAATAATGTAATTTAGTGATTCAGTATCAGATGTCATCTAGTTATTCCTATATTTTTTAAATTGGCCATGTAATTTGTTTTCCATCATTGAAACTGTGGGATATCGTGTAATTTTTTATTGTACTAATTATCTGTCTTCAAGTCTCCTAGCAAATTTTATCATTTAACATTATCATTATGACATATTCTACCCACAAAATCTTTATACAGTACAAAGTCTGTAATCTGGACGTCCATTATCTGGAATGATCTATAATCCGGACCTCAAAGCCACAAACTTACGCATGCACATTTAATGCGCGCGTCCACAATGCATGCGCATAAAGCCAGTAAAGCTTGCATGCTTCCAATCGTGAAGAAAGTAACAGAGAACGTTATTGAAAACGGAAAAATTTTGATTGACAAGTTAGTCGGTATTCTTGACACAGCAATTACAGGACTTGAACTGTGGAACTTCGTAACTGAACAAGAAATCATGTTTGTTTATAGAATTGAAGAGGGAGTATTAGCACAAAAAATGAAGCAACTTAAACAACTTACATTGATAAAATGTTTACTAAAGTAAACAAATAAATATTAAGTTTTTTGGGGGGTAAATTTTGATACCCTTTAGATCATAATTGCTCTTTATTTCATAAATTATAATTTCATACTTTCAATTGTATAATTTCTGCATGCCATCTTACCAGATTTAAATTGTTGATCTATAATCCAGAACCACCGAAGTCCCGATGAGTCCAGATTACGGACTTTGTACTGTATGTGGTTGGACCTTACCTGCAGTCTTTCAAACCATTTTCATATTATCCTTGTTTGATTACTGACTTCTTTGTTCCACATTTCATAAGTACCAGAATATTATCTTGCTGTCGTAATCATATCATTGACAGATATATCTAAAATGATCCATTTTATGTAGTGAAGTATGTAAGCTTTTTTTTCCCCTGACTTGCTCTAAAATATAGCTTCTCATTTAGCTTTTGCATAATGACGTACTTCATCAGTTAAGTTCCTTTCCCTCTGTTAAAGATTAGTTAAGTAATGGTTTTCGTATGTGCTGTTTTGCCCAGTTATTGCAGAAATATTTTTTTAAAATTTTCTTTTAAATATTCTGTAATAATTGTTTAATAAAATTATAATTTTTAATCCTAAGTGAAACAAAACATTAATTTTGCTGTTTGTAGATGAAGAGATGCATTCTTTTGGATGAAAAGTTAAAGCAAATGGATCAGGATATAATAATTAATCCGAAGTATATTCAGAAGGTATGTATAAAGTTGTTTGTGATTATATGCATAAAGCCAGTTGTTGGATGAAACGTCTTAACTGTACCATAATTTTAAGTTTCTATTTGAAAATATAATTTGCTTGTAATAACTTTGTATCAGTGAATCGTTTTAGAATGTGTATATTAAAAATTTAGGGGTTAAATAATGAAACTGAAATATCTGGCTGTAGAATTTAATACAAGACCCCCCCCAAAAAAAAGAGTGCTTTCAGACATTGATTAGTTACTGTTTAAAGTTAATTCATTGTGAAAAAATATGTTTTCTTTCTATGTATTTTTATCATTAAAATATTTTAATTGTTGAGAAAATTCTTTGAATTTTTAATGACATTGGTTGGTAAGTATGCACAAAAAATTTAGTCCAACCCTTTTTATTGGAGTACTACATACCTAAAGCCATGGTTCACAACACTTTAAATGGAGAAACTATGAAGAACTTAGATTAGTGTAAGGATATTCTGGCACTAAAGAATCAGTCTTTTGCCGATCTGAGTTTTAATAAGTGACGGCTTTTCTATTGATTGGTACATGTTTGGTTTGGTTCCTGAAAATGTGAATGTATAAGCAGTTGAGTTAATTAACCAGTAAATTTAATAAGTGGCAGGTACTGTATAGCTTTCTGCAGAAAATTGTGTGCTATGGTTTGTCCAGAAGCAGAAAAGGCCCAAAGTTTGCTAGAGAGAAAAATAGAACGTTATTGTTAACTAAGTAGATCATTGATAAATATGCTTCAAAAGAAATTCATATACGTAATTGAACAGAAATGTTCCCAGTGTCACATTGAAATAAGTTTAATGTGGTATATAGTTTTCCCACTGGGTGCAACATGAAAATGTTAAAAATCAGAAGGTTATGTTTTACTTTTCTTGTTACTTTATATTGAAATTTTCCTCTTAATTTTTTTCTGAGATAAATTGTTTTAGGTTACTGTAGTATTTTTAATATTTCCTGGTACATTTTTTACCTGCTGCCCACCATACATATGTAAGAAAGGTAATGTGTTTGGTTAAAAATTCGTTGGCAAATTTTCAGTGAATAAGCATAAATTAAAGTCCCTTAAAGTAATAAAAAGTAATAAAAATGCAACACATTTTTATTACTTTTTACAGTGATATCTGTGTGTATGCAGGTGGCAGTTTTTTCATTCATGTCAACTCGATCAAATTTCCATTTTGCATATTTATCAAGGTTACACGCTACTGGTTAAATTCATAAAAAGTCAGGAAATTCGAAAAATGACCAAAAAATTTTTTTCCTTTTTTAACAAACACCTTATTTGTCATTTTATAGTAAAATAAAAAATAGTAATTAGTCATCTAAGGCTAACCATTTAATATTATATTCGCCAAAATATTGCTGATTATTGTAACTCAGTTTTTAAGTAATTAACTTAATTTTAATGTTATTCATATCATTTAATGTGGCTTCTTCCCTCTAAATTTATTTATTTATTAGTTAATAATACTTTCAAATTTCAGGCAATTTTCTCTGGCATAATCCTGAAACTAATTCTAGCGATACGATGACATGCTGTCACGAAATTTAATGCACATATTTTTTCCTTATGTATGCTGCTAAATAAATATAAAATACCTGAATTTATTTTAAAATTTCGTTAAATAGGTTTCTTTCATTTAGCTGCAAAATGTCTAAACAAAAAGACATTTTTTAATCCAGATTGGGCAGATTCTAATCTCAAACGTTAGTGGAGAAAATAACTCCTATTATAATGGTAATGTTCTGGGGATTATATATATATATGTCATATGTAATCGGCAAATTTTTTGTGTTTTCAAATGGCACCATAATTAATTTACCTCTCAGCACAGTAAATGTGTGCTATGCAAACAGACTGGAATTAAAAAAAAAAAAAAGAAAAACTCGAAAAGTCAGGGAATTTCATTCTGCTCTTTGAGTGAAACTATGATTTAAGCTTTCTGCGTTGATAAATTTATTAGATTTTGGACAACTGAAAGTGGTACATTGCTTGAAGCCCATAACATTTTTAACAAAAAACTGTTTTAAAATTTAATCTAAAACCTTTCAATTTTATTATCATTAAGGCTTTTTTATCAATGGAAACAAATTAGATATTGGCTAAAATTGGTAAACTGAAAATGATGCTTTACTTCAAGCTCTGAACAGAGTTTAGGGAAAAGTTAAATAGTATAATTCAGAATTCTCAAATTTGATATTTAAAACTCACATATGTAATCATGATTGAGAACAACATATTAGATTGTGGCCAAATGCAATAAACCAGAAGTGGTACTCTAATTAAATTCATTACAAATTTTCTTGGAAAAATATAGAATTGCTGTGTTTAGAATTTAAAATAATGCAGCACATATTAAGACGGTTTCTGTTATATCTGTATATGATATTTATTTATATAAGGATATAAAAGAGAAAATTTTGTATAATATTTCATTTGCTAATCTCCCAAATTCTTGCAATGAAGGCATGTTATCAAAAACTTCACTTGTTATTCTCTTGCATTATTAGATTATGAGGCACAAGAATAAACAGCAAATTCAAAAACAGTTATTGCATTACTTCTTACTGATCCCAGAATGTGTTGCAGTCACTGTTCAACTGTCATTCCAAAAATTAACAAGCATTCTTTTCTGATACCTAAATATCGTGAGGATATATGTGTAGATCAAAATGAATTTAGATTTGTCAATACTGCAGAATCAACAAAGAAGAAAAATTGTGGTATTCATTTCAAGCCATTTATTTTAAATACATTATGAACACATTCTTTAATTAAAAACCATTTATATGTTGTTCTACTTTCCAATAAAATGCAATTTTTATAAAAAGAAATAAAGGAGCAAACATTTAATTCTGTTGATGCAAATTTAGGAAAAAGCAGTTTTTACAAATGTCTAGGTATACCTAATGAAGTATAATCTAAAATTTTGAATTACAAAACTTTTTATTTATTGAAACAACAAATTAGGTTTTGTTTGTTTGCAAAACCAGCATTAATACTTTACTCAAAGCTTGTTACTATTTAAATCGGGAAATTGGCCAGAAGTCATGTACTGGCCACATCATAACATCTATTAACTTTTTATGACAAAAAGAAAAGTTCCAAGTAACCTCTTGATTAAAATCACAATTGAATTTTTCACAGATGATATTGAAAAATAAAAAGAAAATCTGAACAGATTCAGATTTTCGTGTCACACCAGAGGTTTTGTATGCTCTTGGACTCACTTCTGTTAACACTTTATTTTAAAAAATTGTATAGTGTTAAGCGTGGGCATATATTTTTCTGTATTTTTTAGTCTATGCTCAGTTTTCTCAATTACTTTTTTTTCTTTTTATTATTAATCTTTTGCATGTTGAACATTATTTATTAAATATTATGTTCTTCACATGTACTTCTTATAATTCAACAGCAGAACCACCAAAAATTTAAAAACATTGTATCTTTAGAATTCCAGATACGTTACTAAATGTTGCCATGTATTTTTTAACACTTTATTTCTGTAAAAACTAACCTCTTCTGCAGCCAGCCATCTAAGCTAGTTATTATAAGAAAGAAAATGTGTATAATGATTTCATTGAGTCCGCCTAGTATAATTTTTATAAAAAACATTTAATATTTTTAATTAGACCTCTTATGACTCAGCAGTATCACACGCTTGGGATAAAAATACTTTATTGTATTTGCCACTGCTTGCTTTCATATCACTGAGTTTGTTAATTAAAATTTCACTAAATTGTTACAGAATATAAAATAAATATTCAAAAAATATTCAAAATTCGATCTTCCAGGTGTTAGGTGACCTACACATATTCAAAATTTGGTGGCTCCAAGTGCCATCATTTTTCCATAATGCTAGGAACATACATACATACATACATAGAGATTCTTCATTATTTAATTTTTTAATGATACATGAACATTTGATGGCAGCAATTTGAAAAGTGATTCAGTTAAAAAGTGCATTTCTAGACCACTGGCTAAAAAAAAACTGGTGAAAGAAGAAAAGAATTGAATACAAAAGAAAGAAAAAATTGAGAAATGGAAATTCATCAAAACTGTTTTACAATTGCAAGACTGAAATTTGGAGTGAAAAATTGGTGAAATTTGGGGTTTAAATTCAATAAGTAATTCTTCCAAAAAGTATTAACACAACTCGGAAGAAAACGTGGTTGAAGCTAGAGAATTTAGCAAATTTCAAATAAAAGTTGAAAAGAAAGAACATGCTGAACAAAATTTATCGGAAAGGATACTAAAATTGTCAGCTAGAAAAGTTCTGCATGTTTACTTAATTTATGGCAATTCCTGCTACCAATTATTACTACTCCCTTTTTTTTACCCTTTTTATTATTTAAATCTTTCATATCGGTAACAGTTTGCTTGCTTTATTAAGTTATCACAGTTCAAAAAAACAGTTCTAATCACTTCAAAATTAACACATTAAGCACCATTAGGGTCCAAATACTCACAACATCAACTGCTATCTATCCAAAATGCAACACCATGAAGGAAGCATAAATACAGCATAAAATATGCATTATGCGATACCATAATAGATTATGCAAATGATTGATTTCAACACATGTGCATATCATAGTAACTGTAGCACTTTCTTCAATCCATATATAAAGAGAAGAAAGATTGTCATTTTGAATAGTGGGAATTGTTCTTGTGAGATTTTTTGTGTGTGCAGTTTCACTATGCCTCGTAGAAGAAAAACGAGCATCATTCAAGCATATTTTTGCTTTTGACTGAGTCAGAATTCATACAGAGATAGTGGATTATCCTTCCAGGAAATTGGTCATCGTGTTGGATGTAGCCAAGCAACATTCATACGAACATAGAAGCAGTGGATGCAGGAAGGAACAATTGATGGCCGGGAGCACTTTGCAGGAAGACAGGAATATTGTGCTTATGACATTGATGAAGTGCACTGTCACATCTGCAACTATATCGCAATGAATGCAGTCTGTAACACA